TGACACCTTTGTTCTCCGTGACCTAATGTCTAACATCTCTACTCCCAAGGGCAGGCGACAAGTGCACACAAACCTGATGCTTCCACATCCCATTATAGTTTCGCTATCTGAGACCATCATCTGTCCCAATGACAACTCAGAAACGACAGTAATTATTAGAGCTGCTTCAAATCTTGTCAGCCAATGCTTTAATCTAAGAGCAGATCTTTTTCTAGACAGAGATTTTTTTTTAATATTTTGATAACTGTATTTCACAAACTGAGTTTCAAAGTATTTCTTCTTTGATAGTTTTTTCTTGGGAAGAATGTGAAAAGGAGAGGCATTAGATCTTTACATTTCTAGTAGATTTTCAGCATTTTGATGATAACTGTATTTCAATATAATCGGTTTCTTTGGGGACTTATTTTTGGGTTGGGGTCATTTGTTGTTGATTGTTCTACTCCTTACTCTTTTGGGGGGCCCGCCACCCAGCTCCCAAATAAATCACACAGAGGGCCTTATTCTTACTTATAAATGCACGACCTTAGCTTGGCTTATTTCTAGCCAGCTTTTCCTAACATTTCTAACCAGCTTTTCCTAACTTAAATTATCCTGTCTACCTTATACCTCTGGGCTTTTACCCTTCTCTATGTCTGCTGTGCGATGTTCTGTATGGCAAATGTGTTGCTGATTAGTCAATAAATAAAACACTGATTGGTCATTGGCTAGGCAGGAAGTGTAGGCGGGACAAGGAGGAGAATAAAGCTGGGAAGTGGAAGGCTGAGTCAGAGAGACACTGCCAGCTGCCACGATGACAAACAGCATGTGAAGATGCCGGTAAGCCACGAGCCATGTGGCAAGGTATAGATTAATGGAAATGGATTAATTTAAGCTATAAGAACAGTTAGCAAGAAGCCTGCCACGGCCATACAGTTTGTAACCAATATAAGTCTCTGTGTTTACTTGGTCAGGTCTGAGTGGCTGTGGGACTGGCAGGTGAGAGAGATTTGTCCTGACTGTGGGTCAGGCAGGAAAACTCTAGCTACATATGTCTGTATACCTTTCTTCACTTCTTACCTTGTGGCTTGCTGTGTAGCTGGGTGGCTGGACCCTGGAATCTACCTCTTCTCTTTTTCTTCCTCTTTGACCTTTTCTTCCCAGATTTCTCCTTCTATTTATTCTCTCTGCCTGTCAGCCCCACCTATCCTTCCTCCTCCCTAGCTATTGGCTGTTCAGCTCTTTATTAGACCAATCAGGTCTAGACAGGCAAAGTAACACAGCTTCATAGAGTTAAACAAATGCAACATAAAAGAATACAACACATCTTTGCATCATTAAACAAATGTTCCACAGCACAAATGAATGTAACGTATCTTAAAATAATATTCCACATCAAGCATTTTGGTTTTTGCAGGGCTGGGTATCCAAACCAAGAACCTCACAGATGCTAGACATACACTCCACCACTGAGCCACACTGCCAGTCCTAATTAGCTCCCTTCAGAACCTTTGTTTATGTTCTGTATTCCAAATTTTTGCCTAGTACCACATGCTAATGGTAAAGTGGGACAGGAGCAGCAGAAGAGACCCACGGCAGGCAGAAGAATCCTAGCTTTGACTTGCTTCAACTCACGAGAATATGGCCACGCAGAAAAGGAAGCCACCTTTTCGCTAATTTTAATGTTGGCCTTTGGTTTTTCTCCCAGCCAGTCACCTTGTTCTGCCTTCACTGAAATGAAGAACCCCACAGCTCCTTCCAGGGAACACACTACACCCACACTGCCAGGGGTCATGACAGCCTGGGGAAGCTGGGGAGCCCCTGAGCTTACAGCAAAGTTAAGAGCAGGGGACACTTAACGACTTCTAAGTGTGTGTGTGTGTGTGTGTGTGTGTGTGTGTGTGTGTGTGTGTGTGAGAGAGAGAGAGAGAGAGAGAGAGAGAGAGAGAGAGAGAGAGAGAGAGAGATACAGAAACAAACCATCAAAACTAAAAGAAAACAAAGAAATATAACTAACATGGTATTTCAAAATATAATGTTTGAAAATAAGAAAGAAAACTAAACAGAACTTTTTAAGCTACAATAAAATGGAAATTGTCTTCCACAGTATATGGCTAAGTTTGCTAGGAAGAGATCAATATTCTAAAAATATACGGAGCTCTTGCCAGTCAATGAGAGAAGGACTGGTTGCCCAGCAGAAAAATGTGCAAAGACACAGCAAGATGGGGAAGGACAAACTGCCACAAACACACTTTTCAACTCAGTCAGTCATGCAACGGAAATGATAGGCTATTTCATTTCTAACCACAATTAAATGGTTAAGTATTTTGATTTGTCACGTAACCATATTTCAGATTAACAGCGTGTTTAAAAAAAATAACACCTCTGAATTTAAGTTAACAGTATGAAAAAAGCAGTAATACGTATGACATTACTTTTCTGGAGGACAATATGGAAATACAGATCCAACATCTTACAGAGGTACCCATTCTTTGTCCCATCAATTGGATTTCTAGGAATTTACCCCAGGAGGAAACTCCAACAAGTATGCAAAGAGTGATTTGAAAGTAAAATTGAAGTGTGCTCTACAACAGCAGTCTGAAAGAGTGAACAGAAATCATCTTATGTCCAATAGGAAATGAAATTTTGATGTATCTATACAACATGAAATCACTTTTTAACAGTCTGGTTTTCTCTCATATGGAAAAACACTTATATCTAAAGTGAGAAAAAAACTAGATTACAAAATCATATGCCTTTCATGAATTGTATCTTGGCTTTATAAAAGGTACATGTATGCACATAAAGTAGGTAGCCAACGTGCTCACAGCAGTGTTACCTCTTGGTCAGGGGTGTGTTTTAATCATCTGGAATATTAATAATGTATTTTTTATAATATATAAAAAGCTATAATTTCCATGTTCAGAATATTCTAAAACAAGGAGAATAACAGAAGAGAACCCAAGGGCAAAGAGTGCTTCCCACAGGCCTACTCAGCTCCTCACATCAGGGAAGCAGAAGCAGCATGGCCTTCTCTTCAGGACTCAACTTGACCGTGGTGTGTGCCATGCACACATGTGGTGGTGTCCTTTTGTTTGTATACACAACAAAAGGACACCACAACCTGTGTGCTATGTACAAGCAGACAAGCCCAGTGTCCTCTTACTAACGGCTCACAAATCTAGGTTGAGAAACTGTGGCTGATAGGACATGAAACCTGCCCCCATAACACACACTTTCCTTCTGTAGTCTGATTAGGCCAGTGGAGAAGCAATTTGGGCTTCATGGGTTTTGTCTTGTTTTGTTTTGTCTTAATTCATTTTTGTTAGCATATATATATATATTTTTTTTTTGTGCAAGATTTTATTAAACGTCTGTTTGTACAGGACAACATCCAGCCTCCAGATGCAACTGCCAAGACCCTGTTATGCTATAGGCACTGGCTGGGGCATGGCAGGTGGCTCTGGCTTCCCACCCTTCTGCTCTGAGATGGGGGTCGTGGGCAAGATTTCGTCTTTAGGTTCCACAATGCTCACGTGATCAGGCAGAGGCTTCTTGGGGCCGATCTTACCACTTGGGTCCCAGGGCAGCATGATCTTCACTTTGATGCCCAGCACACCTTGTCTCAGGAGCACATGGCGCACAGCAGTGTCAACATAGTAGTTAACAGGGTCTCCACTGTGGATCATCAGCCCATCCACAAACTTCATGGACTTGGCCCTCTGTCCTCGGAGCTTCCCAGACACCACGACCTCGCAGTCCTTGGCCCCACTCTCCATAATGAACCGAAGCACACCATAGCAGGCCCTTCGCACAGCAAGCCCTCCTAGGAGTTTGTAACGTAGGGACTCTGCCTGAGCAATGGCACACAGACCTCTTGTGGCTACCTTTTCTGCATAAAGCTCTACACTGCCCTCAGGGAAGCCGAACCTCTTCTGGACTACCGCAGTCAGCTCTCTGATCCGACGACCCTTCTCACCAAGAACATTCTGTGTTCTGGTGGCTAAAATAATGATTTCTGTTCTGGTTGGTGTAACTCGGACTTCAACTCCAGAGTAGCCATCTTCAGCCAGTTCCCGAGTGAGAAACTCATTCAGTTCAGCTTTGAAGATGCCATCGGCCACAAACTTCCTCTTCTTGGAAATCTGGACCGCCATCTTCTTGTTAGCATATATTAATTGTACAAAATGATGGATTTCACTCTGGCATTTTCACACACGTATATAACCTACTTGGATCATAAGCCCCTTTCTTGCCCTAAACCCACCATGGTTTGTCATGGAGAAGGTCAACACTGCTTTGCTTCCACAGGCACTATGGAGATTATCTTTCCCTCAAGTGTCACAGAGAGTAGCAGCACATGAAGATGTGACCACTTTTTCCCCTTGTGAGTAAAAAAAAAAAAAAAACTCAGGGAGAAAACCGACCTGAATTTTTCAAAATTTAAAAAACAATGGAACCAAGACTGAATTTAATTAAAAAAAAAAATCAAATAACAGCAGCAAAAAGCCAGTCACATGGTTTGAGGTTCCACACACAACAGTTAAGCCACAAACGGGGTTTTTAAGCATGATTGTAGATAGCATGAGGAAGAAACAAGATCCATTATATGGAAAACAAGGTTCATAAAGAAACAAAGAGCCAGTAACAGAAAGCAAGTAACTCTAGAACAGACTTTCCTCACTGAGCTAGGCCAGAGGCTCCCAGGAGCATGCTCACCCGAGGGGCCCTGTAACATGAGCCTCCTGTGAATTAGGGTCTCACAGGGGTTTTCCTCCAGTGTGTGCCACCCCAGGAGCTGCTAGCTTCTGGGCACCAAATCATCCTCCAAAACAACCCTGAGGAAAGGGTTAAGAGCAGAGGTCAGAGCTCAGTGGCCAGGGGCAGAAGTAATCCTGCAGGTTTAGGATACCTACACAACTAGACGATGGGCATCTACCAGAAACAAATGAGCACAAGGTGGGCAACCTGTTTGGAAAATCCACCAACCAGCCTTAGAAAACAATTCAGAAGAGTACCCGAATTCTACGAATAAAGGAGCCAAGCCCTGGCTCCCCAGCTGTCACACACAGCCAGAGATGAATGAAAGGAACTCTAACCAGGAGGGAAAGGTCCGGTGAGATGGCAGACAAGCTGGACATGAAGGAAATCTCCAGCTTCCATAAGGCTGAGCTGAAGAAAGCTCAGACACAGGAGAAGGTCACCATGCCGACCAAAGACTCCCCTGAGCAGGAAAAGAAAAGTAAAATTCTCTAAAAGCCTAGACTGGAGGATTTCTCCACCCCACCCCATCATCTCCGAGACCACCTGGTGATGTGGAGGAAGAGCCCCCTGCAAGATGAATGCAAGCCCCAAGCTACACTGTGAACCCACCCAGGCACTCCACACTGATGTCCCTGACCCACAGGTCTCCGAAGGGGGCCCTCCCACACGCTAATCAGACTGACAAATTTCACCCGTTTGCCCTGGGATAGTATAGAAAATTATTTCTATGACTGATGAAAATAAAACACACCCCATGGCCAGAAAAAAAAAAGATTCCCTACCGAGTGGGAAGCCAATGTACCCACTGTCACTGTCTAAGGTCTAAACAAGGAGGGTAAGATAAAAATTAAAACTCCAACTCCAGTCAGGCAGAGCACGGAGACTTCTCCAGGTAGAATTTAACTTCTATGGAGTTCCTGAGAATGATCAAACACCTACCTCAGCCTATCCCGTAGAAAACCACACATCCACACCCCAAGTCTGAGTCTGAGGACGGGGTGGGAGAGTTGGGTGCAGAGGATCTTCATTTTGAAGATGTTCCAAGTTGGCACCACTTCTTCAAAAATGACTTGTCCATTGGGAGAGTGAAAGGCATCCCAGGGCTCCCCAGGCCAGGCTTTTATAAAACGCCCCAGGCTAGTTAGATCTCTACCCCGCCCCACCCCCTTTCCCAATGTGCAGCTCCCTTAGCCTACAGTTATGGTGGGAGAGGTCACACCGTCTTAGAACAATCTGTCATGTGAGATAGACAAGAGTCCTATGTCCTCTCGACAGATGAGATCAGAGCACTGGGGGATCGATTCTGTAGCTGTACGAAGTCAACCCCACAATTTGGGGGAGATAAATAGAAAATAATAAGAAGTGGTTAGTGGACTACAAAGAAAATTAATACAAATTACTGGTTACTAAACAGAAAGGAAAAGGAAGCGCCTGTACTAATATATATATATATATATATATATATATATATATATATATATATATATATATATGGTGAAAATGAACTCCATGCTACCCTTAAAACTGTCAACAGCTTTTAAAAGTGGCATAACACATTGCTGGTAAGTTACCATAAGAGAGTTCACTGTCGAACTTTTCTAGAATGGACTGGTAGAGTCTTTTTTTGAAAATCAGCTTGGCTGTGTGTGTGTGTGTGTGTGTGTGTGTGTGTGTGTGTGTGTGTGTGTGCGCGCGTGCCAAAAGAATGGGATTCTTGGATACTGGTGGCACAAGCAACAAAACCAAGCCCACGGGTAAAGTTCTAAATGGTCTCGTATGATGTGGTTCAGGTACAGCTTGTGGAGACTGAGCATATGAAACAAGCTTTCACGATTTTGGAGAGACATCTGTACTTGTCATTCAGGCAAGGTTCCACACAGCATGTCCCTCCCATTTGAGTTCATTTGGATAGGAGAACTGTAACCACATAAGCCTCCATGGGGAGCAACTCATAAATAGAGGCATCTCTATGTCCAAACACAGGAAGGACAAGTGGGCTCTGGGAGGAATTCAAACCACAAACAGGACGCTGTAAGAATCATGACATCAGCTCTGGGGTTTCTCCCGCACACTCAAGAGCCCATCTAGATTTCCCCCACTTTAGAGTCTCTGTGGCTCCCAAATCTAGCCACTCTGCTCACTCAACTGCTTGAAAGTGACCCTCTGAGGCTGGCCCCAAAAGGTGCCCTTAATGCCAAGTTACCATGACCTCTCAACCAAGCTCTCTCCCCCCAAATTCCAATTCCAAATAGAGTCCTTGCTGACAGTTTGGTTTTAGCATTTCAAAGCACCACAGCAAGACATTTGACAGAAACCACACTCTGATTTGGACTCTTGTCCTGGGCTAATGATATGTGATCCAGTCCTCCCCTCTACCTCTGGATAGCAGCAGGGACTACAGACCATAATTAGGAAGGGAAAGAATGGAGCCTGCAGTGCTCTGGGTGGCTGAGCCATGCTGCTCTGCGGGAACATATGAACTCTGAGTGCTGCTCCTCAGCCTGAGCTTCGGGGCAACGTAAAGAGGTAAGGCTCCTGAGCCCTTGCAAAAGCCACAGGAAGATTCCGCTAGCTAACCTCAGTTCCTGATTAACACTGAATAACACAACAGTGATGTCTTTCCGACTCTTTGACCTAGGATTCTGCTTATGAGAGCATTCTCCAGGCATCTATCTGAGAGCTGACACAAGGTACCAGCAGCTTCAGAGCCCTCCTCTGGCAGTCAGGAAGTCACATGGGCTGCGTGCATTCAACTCTCTGCTTCTTGCAGAGACACTTGCCCATCAGATCAGAGTCGTGCCCTGCACCAGCATGAGCACATCTTAATTCTATCAGCAATGTCTCTCTCCAAATAAGGTTACACGCTAATATACTGGCGGTTAGGACTTTAAACTGTAAATTCTAAGCAATTACAACCCATGATGCCCACATTCTTCTTATGGATATTTTGACAGGAAAATAATCCAAAGAAGAACATTTTACAAGCGGAAAGGTTTAGTAAGCCATTGTTGATAATGACCACCCAGAAGCCAGTAGCCAGTAAAGCCTCTGGAACATCCCTCTAGACAACAGAGCACACACAGCCTGTGAGAATTGAGGGTCTCAAGTCTTACTTCCTGCAGGTAATTCAAACCTGGATCTGCCCTGGTTAGCTAAACAGCCCTTGCCAAACTACTTAAATGCTCTTGGTTGAGTTTGCTTATCTGTAAACTAGGGAGGTAAAACCCTTTCCTCATGGGGTTATATCAAGGATTAAATAGAATCTCACTACGATAATATACAAAGGGCCCAAGCATTAAGTTACGCAAAATACAGATCTTGCTATTGTCAAGTTACATAGGAGCAAACTTCTGTTATTAGCTCCACAATGTCCAAAGGTCAATAATGGCTTTGCATTCAAATTTACATAATTTATAGGTGTGTTACAAGACAAAGCCCCTACCCACACAAAAGGTCCTAAATAAATCACCCGCTTCTCATCACAGCTCACTGCCACAATGAACCTAATGGGATTCCTCTCTTTTACATAGGTGTCTTATATTACCTCAGGCAAACTTAGTAAGTAAAATGTAATATTCAAGTTGAGAGATAAAGTGGACATACTCTACATGAAAACTCCAAATCCCAGGCTGCTTTTTACATAAGGCCCTGCATCACAGCTTCACATACAATTCCTGACCTCAGTTGAGAAATCTCCACCCAGCCCACCTTTCCAGAACATAAATGAAATTATCAAGTCCATTTGCTGCAATTCACTGATATCATTCCTAAGACTTAAAGTTTAGTGAGAAAATGTTACTATTAGACCCATAATCCAACTAATTTGATTACCTACTTTTTAATTCCATTGACAGATTGAAACAAAAAAATTCAAAATTTTTAAAAAAGAATAAACTATCGTGGGAAAGCTATTTTTAAAGCTACAAGATTGAAGGCATCCAAGTCAGAGGACAGCCATGGGACAGAGCAAGCATGTATAATGCTCCCAAGTGCAGCATCTGAAGGGCCAGGCAACCAGCTTCTCTGGTGCCAGCAGAGCACTAGTATGAACCAGCTCAATTACTCAGAAACCCGTATGGCAGCACAGACTGAGAAACGCCATGTAAATACTTTAAATTTCTGATATTCTCTACCGGTATAAACCCCTGGCTTATGAGAAAACTGGTACTAAGATAATCTTTCCTCAAATAGCTCCAGATAGTCCAAGTTTAACCACACACATTGTGATTACCAAAACCAGTGAAGACATTCCAGGCAGAATCTTAAAGAACCTTTGGAGACAATGCCATAATTAATACATGAAGTTTTTCAATGTGAGCTCTAAAGAGCTTGTCAATTTGTTTTATCACTTTATGGAGTTGCCCTGACTTTGTTTATGCTGATGGTTACAACAAAGCTTGAAAGAGAGAGCAGGGACCAACTTCGGTGGAGATGCCACTCCCCACAATAAGATGCCCATCACAGCTCTCCCCATCTGTTTTCCTGCATGGCTTCTCTGTCTCTAAGCACTCTGAAGCCAAGACGAAGACTTCCCAGGATGCTGCTGGACAGCACAAGTGATCGAGTTTGAAGGACTTTGCAACCAACCCTTTACAGGCAGAACTATGGATTGAGTTTGGTCTCCCTGCATCTTGGTGGTTTTTTTTTTTCTCCAACATTCTTGAGCAGCCGTTCCCAACCCTGTTGAAATCCATGTCTCCAAGGAGTGCAAAGCCACACAGAAGTTACGGCACATTTATTTAGTCTGGAGTTAGGCCCTATTTTTGGTAATGGTGGTAGTGATGTTTTGTTTTTCCTAAAATTCTTAAATGACTTTAATATGTAACCAGGGCTGAACACTATGACTCTGATGTGGTTCTTTCTCATCATTAAAGGTGAAGCCTAGTAAGTTTTAAATGAGTGTCGAAGCCTCCACCCCATCCTAAAGTCCACTACTCCATCCTTGCTTCTTGAAAGTTGTTTTTTGTTTTGTTTTCTTTGGGCTTTTGTTTTAGGTTTTTCAAGATAAGATTTCTCTGTGTCCTTGAACTCAGAGATCTGCCTGCCTCTGCCTCCCTAGTGCTGAGATTAAAGGCCTGGGCCACCACCACCACCGTCTGGCTATTTTTATTTTTTTGAGGAACCGTCACACTGACTCCAATAATGGCCGCCCAAGTTTACATTCCCACCAGCAGTGAGTAAGGGCTCTTCCTTCTCTATGTCCTCGCCTGCATTTCTTGTCATTTCTATTCTGATGATAGTCATTCTGACTGGGAGGAGAGGGAATCTCAAAGCAATTAGGACATTTCTGTGTTAATACTCAACATTCCCATTGGTCAGTGTGGAAAATCTCTCAGTCCTCAGTAACAAGAAAAGCTTCTCCCAAGCAATTGCTTCACTTTGCCTTCAAAACACGGAATCATATAAAAATCCTATTTTCTTCTCTGGCTACTGTGATGATTCATCTTGTCAACCGGATGGGATTGAGAAGTAACTGGGAGATTGGTCCAGCACACCTCTGGCTGTGTCTGTGAGGATGCTTCCAGAGAGGATGAACGAGGGAACAATTATATACTGTGTGTGTGCAGCA